TAGAGTGGAATAATAATAGACTGGTGATTTAGCACAGTTGGTGTAGTGCTTGTCTAGCATGCAAGAGGCCCTTGATTCATTCCCCAGCACTCTGTAAACTGGGCATGGTGGCACATGTTTGTAATCTCAGCACTTGGGAAGTGGAAGTCCAACAACCAGTAGATAAAGGTCATCCTCAGCTACATAGTGAGTTTGAGGCCAGCCTGGGCTACACAAGAAATAAAATAAAATAAAATAAAATAAAATAAAATAAAATAAAATAAAATAACAGTGCCTACCATATAGACTTGTTAGAGACATACTTTGTAGTTTGTTTTCTTTTTTTGTTGTTGGTTCTGTGAGACAGGGTTTCACTGTAACACAGGCTGCCTCAGCCTCCTGAGTGCTGAGATTATAGGTGTATCTCTCTCTCTCTCTCTCTCTCTCTCTCTCTCTCTCTGACACACACACACACACACACACACACACACAATTTACCAATTTGAAAAATATCATTCTAAAACTGTGTCAAACATAAAATGTGCAGCTGTCACCAAATTGTTGGCTAAATCTAGGCTGATGCAGGTTTTATAAATATTTAGGCAGACACAGAGCACACTTTCATTATGTCTGTGGGTGTTCTTGCCCAGCAGTGACAGAGCTGAGCTGTCAGCTCACATTGTATGGCCCACAAAGCCTAAAATGCTTGCTGTTTTGCCCTTTGCAAATTTGCTCATCTTTATCACAGGACATTTCTTCTGCCCCAAGTGCCCATAAGCCCCATTTGCTCTTCCCTCCACTGCCAACCTGTAGTTCCCCTGGCAGCTGCAGATCAGCCCTTCCCTACTAGGTTTTGCCTTTCCTAGACCTTGATATGATGGCATTGTGTGGTGTGTAACTGGTCTTTGCTTAGGTTGAGGCTCTTGTGGTTGGATAGACTGAGTGCAGCGGTGGCTTGCTCCTTCGTGCTCTGCTCTTCATTTACTTTGTTCTTGCCTTGTTTTTATGCTGCTTGAAGAAACCCAATGTTATCGCCACATACACTTTTTTAACCTGCTTTGAGGTTCTAATTTTTTTTGGTCTTTAAATAGTTTTACTAGAATATGTTTTGAAGTTGATTATTCCTAAAATACTTTTACTTTCTGGTGAACGTAAAATAAATTGATTAGTCAGCTGAAATGTTTTGATTTGCATTTTGTTTTCTGAGTAGCTTTGAATGAAGTTGGTTTGGTTTTCCTCCTTTCAGGCATTCTGTGGGTGGGGTTGAAGGGTACCTAGTGAGCTACTGATGTGACTGCAGATTTGTGATGTGCTGTGTCAGTGTGAGAAATGGTGGTGCTGCTCCTAGTTTGTGCTGGTTCTTTCTCTTCACCTCCACTTCCCCCTCAAGGTACCATCCCTCCTTTTTACCTATTCTTCCTCAGAAACAAAGCTGCCTGTCCCACAAAAGTTTTTTTCTTCCTTAAACAGCTTTCCTAAGATAAAATTCTACAGTGTAGTTTATCCATTTAACTTGTGTCATTCAGATGTATTTTTAAATATAATTTTATTTTTAATTTTTTTATGTGTATTGCCTGCATGCAGGTAAGTGCACCCGTGTCATGTAGTGCCCATGGAGGTCAGAAGAGGCTGTCAGATCCCCTGGGATGGGAGTTATGGACAGTTTGTTAGCCGCCATGTGGGTTCTGGGATTCAAACCCAGGTCTTCTGCAAGAACAACCAGTGTTCTAACCACTGAGCCATCTCTCCAGCCCCTCAGATTTTTTTCAAGAACAACCAGTGTTCTTAACCACTGAGCCATCTCTCCAGCCCCTCAGATTTTTCTTTTAAATGTGTGTAAGTATACTGCCTGCATGTATGTAGGTATACCCGTGTTGTGCAATGCCCGAGGATGTCAGAGGATGGTAACGGAGCCTCTGGAACTAGAGTTATGCATGGCTGTTAGCTGCCATGTGGGTGTTGGGAACCAAACCTGGGTCCTCTGCAAGAGCAGCTGGTACTTGTAACTGCTGAACCATCTCTCCAGCCCCCAGACAGTTTTGCTATATTCTCTCAGACTGTACAGCACTGTATGATGACATTGGCATATTCATTACTCAGAAAGGTACACCTGTCACCTCTCTGTTCTCTCATCGTCCTTAGCCCTAAGTAACTACTAATCTGTTTTGTTATCTCTATGGATTTGCCTATTTAAATATTTTATTAAAAATAAGAAAAAGTATATAGTCATTTATAATTGACTTCTTTCACTCAGCATAACTTCAGATTTAGCCACATTGTGGTATGAACAAATAGTTTATTCCTTTTTGTGGTTAAGTAATATTATCTTGTACAGATAGACTACATTTTATGTGCATTGATCATTTGATAGACATTTTATTGTTTCTACTTTTAGGCTTTTCTAAACAATGCTATAAATGACCATTTATAGAGTATAGGAATGTATGTTTTCATTTCTTTTGGATGTATACCTAGGAGTGGAATTAAGAGATAAGATCTTACTATGTTGCCCAGGCAGCCTGAAACCCTAAGTGTCCATCCTGTCTCAACCTTCTGACATGTGCTACTGAACTTGGCTTACCCCAGTTTTTAAAAATTATAACCATTTTGTTGGTGTAACGTTGTGGTTTAAATTTGTATTTTTGATGGCTAATGATGCTTAGTATATTTTCATGTATTTATTAATCCATTTGCATATCTTTGGAGAAATGTCTTGTTAGAGCCTTTGCACATTTCAGAAATTGGGTCATCTTTTTAAAAAACTTATTTTAAGGATTTAAATTTTTAATTATGGTTATGTGTGTGTATTGCATGTGCCCTTGGAGATCAGAGGCATTAGATCGGATCCCCCTGGAGCTGGAGTTACAGGCTGCTGTGAGCTGCCAAACCTGAGTGCAATTGAACTCTTGTAAGAACAGTACTTGCTCTTACCACTCAGCCATCTCTCTGGGCCACTAAGCAAGAACTCTGCTGCTGTTTGTTGCTGCTTTTCTCCTTACAGGTCATTGAAGTCTGTGTATTTTCTGCATCCGAGTACAGTGATGGTGTAACAGTCCTGTGTGGCTTTGTTTGTGCCCCTTCTTCATCTCAGGTTTAGGTTTTTCTTTTCGGCAACTGTGTGGCCACCATTACCTTCCCAAGATTGAAAGCTCCATAATCAATGAATAAATGACATTAGTTTGCATAAGTATTTAAACTTCTCATAATGCATGCTTTTATTGCAGTAGTCTCATTTTTAAGCTTCTTTTGGGGGAGGGGGTGGACAAGATCTCACTGTGTAGCCCTGGCTGACCTAGAATTTACTGTGTAGACCAGCTGGCCTTGAACTCATAGAGATCTGTCTGCTTCTTGCTAAGTGTTGGGATTAAAGTGTGTGCTACCGTGCCCAGGTAGCAAAGCCTTTGGTTTAAAAATATAATTTATTCTGGGGCTGGAGAGATGGCTCAGTGGTTAAAAGCATTGGCTGTTCTTGCAGAAGACCCAGCTTTGGTTTCCAACACCCACATGGCAGCTAACAATCATCTGTAACTCCAGTTCCAGGGGATCTGATGCCCTCTTTTGATCTTCATGGGCATTGCACAGGTACACAGGTACACTTATATATATATACAGGCAATGCATTCATACATATAAAATAAAAATAATAAGATATTAAAGAAAATACATAATTTATTCTGGATTGGTGGCTCGTAACCTATCACCTGAGTGCTCAGAAGGTTGAGTCAGGACTATAAGTTTGAGGCCACCCTGGACTGAAACTCTGTCTCAACAAAGCACAAGGGGCTAGAGAGATGCTTTAACTGTTAAGAATACTGGCTACATTGGCAGAGGACCCAGGTTCTGTTTCCAGCACCCACATGGCAGCTAACAACTGTCTGCAACTCCAGTTTCAGGGGATCTCTTTCTTCTGGCCTCCACAGGTATTGGACACGCAGTAGACTTACATCCATGCAGGCAAAATACTCAAACACATACAGTAAAAATAAGCAAATTTAAAAAATTTAAAAAAGCAAAACAGAAGTAGCAAGAAAATTTTATCTCTGGATTGTTAAAATTGAGGCCTTATATTTAATCTTACAGATTTTAATATCTGTAACTGGGCTATTGTGTTTGGTCTTATGTAAGCATGTAGTAATGGGTTTAGCATGTGTCATAGTCAGTGACATATTGGAGGAAGAAATAAACTCTTTATTGAATAACTATGAGTGTAATATCATGAGGGCTATTGTGATTTTAACATTAAATGCCAAAGAATTAACTGCTGGGGAAACTGAATGCTATATGTTATCGACCTTGTTTTCCTTCTTGACAAGTTCCATTCTCTTGAACTCTGTAACTCTGCTTCTGCCTCTGCTTCTATTCCTTCTTGTGTTTTGTTTGTTGTGCTTTTTTGACTTTTTTTGAGACAGAGCCTTATTATGTAGCTCTGACTAGCTTGGAACTTGTAGATCAGTCTAGCGTCCAGCCTCCCTAGTGCTGGGATTTGTAGGCATGAGCCCCATAGCTCCTTATCATTTTGAAGGTTGTATTTTATATTGTATCCTCTTAAATGTTGGCTCTTTGTCTTCTCTGTGTGTCCTCCCATCCACTTTAAATTCACTTGGATTACTTCACTTTCTATCTATAAATAAAACATGTTATTTCTAACTATGATTTCTTTCCTAAGGTTTAGATCCAACTGACTGCTAAATCTCTCCACTTGTATGATCCATAGCTCCTATTTAAATAAATAACCTACTTTTTTCCTCCTTATTCCTGATTCCTTTTAAGGACTTTTCAGATCATTGAATGACTACTACATCTCAACCCCAAATTCAGTCAGTGAGGTATACATATATACTAAATGCAACTGAAATCCTTTTACTTTTCTTCATCTTGAATGCTGTCATTAAAGATTTAGGTTATATGTAACTGGACCATGGCAGTGACCTCCAATATTGTTGTTTCAGTGCAGCCAGAATAGTAATTCTGAAATACATCTGATGTCACACTTGCTTAAATATTTGTCTCATTCATTTCAGAAAATGGAATCATCAAGACAGATAAAGTATTTGAGGTGATGCTGGCCACAGACCGCTCCCACTATGCAAAATCTAACCCTTATATGGATTCTCCACAATCAATAGGTAAGCTTTAGATTTCTGAAAAGTCAATTTCCCTTCAGTTACTCTGTAGTTTTATAACTAGGAAAAGAACAGTAAACAGCCGTATATTGTTTTTTGGTTGGTTGGTTTTTAGGTAGTGCTGGGGATTGAACCCAGGGCATCATGCATGCTAGGCAATTACTCTGACATTATGCTTAATTTCCAAGCCCCCAGTATATATTATTACCCCATTAATTCAAAGTTTATGACTCAGTTTCATAATCTCAACCTACCCTTTTTAATAAGCAGTGTCTTTTTCTATGTCTTTAAAAAATAGAAAATGAAAACTCAGGAAGTTTTGGAATATTTTAACGAATAACAACTTTAATGAGTTTTAGCTGAGTGTTGGAATCTTAATATTGAATTTGCATATTAGCATTGATTTTTAGAATCAGTGTTTAAAGGAAATGAGTAATTAAGTCATAATTGACTTTTCTACTTTATCAACCCTGATACTTTGGCTTTCATTTGTTTTTAGAAAGTTCGTATTTCACTCCTTCTGAAGCAGGTTTTGCTGAGCTGCTGAGCCTTGGCAGTGGGCGCCTTTGAGGCTTAGAAGTGCCTCAGGATTCTATCGGCCAGCTGCCATGTCTTCTTTTGAAGCACTGTGACAGTCAGCAAGAAGATCCTGGGGAGCTTCTGAACCCCGAAGGCACCTGCTACCACCGCTCAGTGAAAATTGCTTCAGAGGCAGAAGCAGGTAAATAATTGATCTTGAGAAAATACCAACAGAAGGAAAGAATACTACAAGCCAAAACTCAACAAAAGATAGTGTGAATTAACATTAGACAATGATAGAAAGAGCAAATTGAAGTGGATCATTAGTCTGTTCAGCTAGGTTGTCTGGCTTGTTAAAATATTGCCAGAAGTATGAGACTCTAATTTTGCATACTTATTATATGTGAAAGTTTATTTTCTTTTTTATAAATCTGAAGGGAAAAAGAGTGAAAAAAAACCAATCAATTCTCAGTGTATTGAAGTCCTCCTTAAGCCTGATGGTACAAGCCCATAATCCCAGCTACTTGGGAGACTGAGGCAGGACAACCCTGAGTTCAAGGCCTGCCTGCACTCATTATGAGACCCTCTTAAAAAGAAAGCTGACATGGTGGCACATGCCTGTGATATGTGCCCTCAGGAGCTGAGAGCAATAAAATTAGGATCAGGGCCAGCCTGACCTCAGAGCTGATTTGAGACCCTGCCTCAAAAACACCAAGAAACACAACAAAATAGAGGAGGGCAGGGGATAAATAAAAAGAAAAAGAATGTTTCCTTTCTTAGCTAACAACACAGGAGAAGGCATTCTTAAACTAGTGGAGGCCAGGTGTGGTGGCACATGCCTTTAATCCCAGCACTTGGAGGCAGAGGCAGGTGGATCTCTGTGAGTTCAAGGCCAGCCTGGTCTACATAGTGAGTTCCAGGACAGCTAGGGCTACAGAGAGACCCTGTCTCAAAAAGACCAAAAAAATAAAGTAGCAGAATTGATAATACTAGATGAGCATACTAGCCTTTGGAATGCTTATATTTTTAATTTATTTAAATTTTAGGTTTATTTCTAATTTTACTTTACATCAAATTTTCTAATGAATTTTGTTTTCTAAAGATCATAAAAACCAAAAAAGAATTGTGAAAAGCAATGTTTGAGTGTTAGAAAAAGAACTAGTGCTGGGCGTGGTGGCACACGCCTTTAATCCCAGCACTCGGGAGGCAGAGGCAGGCGGATCTCTG